CAAAAAAAAAAAAAAAATTTGCTAAATGTCATAAAAATGAGTGAAATGATGAGACCGTAACTTTAAAAAATGACATTTAAAAAAATTATTTAATACAATAGGCAAGCATTCGATGACGAACTCTTTCGGGAATTTGCCAGCGAAATAACGTCCTCGCCGAGTCGTTCCTAAGACAAAAACAATGTCTGTTTTTCAAGTGTTATCGTTGCTGACAAAGTAAAGCTCATCTCTTATATTTTTCCCAACAAATCGTATCATCTTATCTGAGCCTCCAACCATATTTTTGGCCCAGAATTCCAGGTGCCTTTTCTTTCATTTTCCTATTTATTCTCATTTTCTGTTTGGTTGCCGAGAAAAAGAATTGAAGGAATTCTGGTAATGACCATTTTGAATTTTAAGTTCTCTATTGAACTGCTTCCCAAGAAATGAATAAAACTGACTATGTAAGCGACAGGAGAAGTTCAGATTTTGTAAAGTTTTAATTTTTCCTGCTTTTGCCTGCCACCGTTTCTAAGCAATCTAACACAGCATCCAAACCTTCTGAAGTGTAAAATTAGTGTTTATTTATTTATTGGTTTCTGGGTTTTGACTTACAGGGGTAAGTGATGAATGGATTCTTGTTCTTTGTTCAAATTTTGTAGCTTTGAAGTGAGAACCAATGGGGAGTGCTTCATCCATGCTAACTCAGTATGACATTGAAGAAGTACAGGAACACTGCAATGATTTGTGTGGGTATTTCTTTTTGTTTTTTTTTCTTTCTTTGTCTCTCTTTCACGCGTTGCAATTTGCTATTGTTGTTATCAATGCTAATACTTAGTTGATCTGGTTTTGTTTTGAAAATCAGTTTCTCAGCAAGAAATTGTATCCTTATATCAAAGATTTTGTCAACTTGATCGGAATGCAAAGGGTTTTATCTCAGCTGATGAATTCTTGTCGGTCCCCGAGTTTGCAATGAATCCACTCTCTCAGGTAGTCCACTGCTAGGATGAGCTTATATTTAGTTTGTTCAATCCACGCGCTTTGTTTCATTGGTAATGCATGGTGTGAGTTTCTGACTTATGGCTCTGCTTCGTTCTCCTCAGAGGTTGCTTAAGATGGTGGATGGTTTGAATTTTAAGGACTTTGTGGCTTTCTTGTCTGCATTTAGTGCTAGAGCGAGTACGCAGCAGAAAAGTGAACGTAAGTTATCTGATCCCACTAAGCTTAATATTTTATAGTGAACTGGTTCTTTTACGATTGTGAAATGTATTTGGCTTATTTTGAGTTGAACTCAGATACTATGTTCTAGATGAGTTATTTTATGTTCTAAGTGGGTAAAGCTAGTGGCTAGTGTATTCTGTGTGGATTATTGATATCTGTTCAAATGGGTGCAACTCTGTAAATTTTTATTTTTATATTTTATGCCAAAAGAACCCGACTTTTTTTATTTTCTGAGAAGGAACAAAATTTTATTAATACTGACAAAAATTGCATCCCTGTGTACAAGGAGTCCACTTAGAAGACAAGCAGGAAGCAAAATAACTCTGCAGTTGTTGAAACAGAGTCAAGGAACTCCGTATATGTTATTGCTTATTCTGGTCCAGTCTTTATTGTTGCTTTACGCGTTGGAATTTTATTATGGCATATGAATCAAATTACCTTTGCTATCAGTCTTTTATCATCTCAAATAATCAGGACTGAAAAGAGTGATGCATGAAAGTGGAAGAAAAGTAAACACATTT